GAGGGTCTTTCACACTTTGCGCTCAACGGACTGAGGGTCTTTTGCCCCCACCAGACTGGGGTTTCTTCCAACTTTTATCGGCAGGTGTGTATGTGTGCTAGTTAGTGTGTACGTCTCTGTGTGTGCTGGTTAGTGTGTACGTCTCTGTGTGTGCTGGTTAGTTTGTACGTCCGTCACATAAGGGTAAGTTTCCCTTGTATGGAGATGTTTTTAGTTTGACACAGTTATGTAAAATTGAGAGACTGTGTTCAGTTGGACACAGTAGCTTTAAACAGTGTTCAGTTAAAAACAATAGCAAAAATCGAGAGACTGTGTCCAACTGAACACAGTAGCTTGAAACCAGAACTGAGATTGAGATATAAGCCAACACATAAAATTAAGAAGCTGTGTTTTGTTGGCACAGTACCAGCTGCAGTGCTCATGGAAGCTAGGTAGAAATTAGATGTAAGCTAACAATGAAATTTGGATTTTTGATATTTAGCGCTCCGAAATATTAGAAGGAAGCTATTTTCTCAGGCTGTATTGAATCGCTGCCAAGGTGTTCTATGTTCTGGTCTAGAGGCGTGTGGTGGCGGGTGGGTAAACTGTAACAACAGCTCTGAGTCTGAATTTGAGTGGAAATAATAATGAGCTGCCCGACTAGAAAGATCAGCCCAATCAAACTTAAAGCAAATCGAAATTTGCTTTTTGAAAGCTTTCAACTGCGATCATATGAAGTGCTTAAAGAAAGTGATCTTTGAAGATGTTTTTCCTGTGCCTCAGCTTGAGCTTTCCATTTATAATAATACTCGGTGTATTTCATTTCCATTTTTGCAAATGCAGTCCGTTGAGGGCAACTCCGGGACTTATCTTTGGTCCATCTCTCCTAGCTAGCCATGACTCTTGCTTCTACGCTTGGACCAGCCGACACCAAGATCCACATCAGCCATTTCCGCCCCGCCACGCTCCCAAACCAACTCTGGTTCCAAGTTCAGGACCATCTCGAGGCGAGGAAGGAACAACTCTAGTAGGGAAACTCCCTGGACCTAGTACTTCAGGCCACACTGATGCTCCCACCGCTCCAGGACCCTTCAGCACATACATGTACTTTCCAGTACTACATGAAACACATGAAGACATCCCGTACTCCAGGCCCCGCACCACACCACACCACACCACACCACACCAGACCACGTCAGGACCTTCCGTCTTTGTTCAGCATTAGCGGCGTTCCAGAAATCGACTCAACAGTGAAAGGACTATGGTATCGGTATCCAAATCGACAGGTACCGCTACAGTACGGCAGGAAGTACGGCGATTTGCTGGCATCACCGGCACCGAAGTTATTGCAGCTACTCAACAGGATGTGACCCTCGCTAGCTAGCTAGCTAGATAATAGGTTCTTATGAAAATGTTGCAAGGATTAGCTAGGAAGCACTTGATAGCCAAGCACTTCTTTCACCCTTACAACCTACCAAATATTTGTGTCTACCAGCTTCAACAATGATTCCCATACTTTGTAGGTCAATAGTAGTTGTTGAGGTTTTCATCATCGCATTGATTGATGGTTCCTATGAATCATGTGTCGGCTCCTAATTCCAATTTCTATCTGGTCGGAAGAACTCCAAATTCTTGCTTTGTCGTCTCGTCTGCTACGATCTCAACTCGAGGATATACCATTGTTCTTGTCCCGAGCCGTGCGTTCCAAGGCTTGTTCAATAGTCTCTTTCATTTGCTTGGCCGCCTCACTGGCCGCCACCACAATAGCCTTGGCATCGGCCGCACTGTTGACTTTTGCTTTGGACTTGGTCTGCAGCAATTTCGACAAGACATGGATTTGTCGCTCCGTATCATCTTTGCATTGTACCAATAGCGACTCTACCATGGTCAAGGCTACTTTGGTGTCGACCAGTTGTGAGCTGAGCTTGTTGGCGGCCATGTTGGCGTACATGCGCTGTGCCATTAAACTCAAAAAAGACCTGGTTGCCTCGGAGGCGTGTGGATAGTCTATCAGGGCTCGTTGCCGCGTCCACTTGCGACGTCGTACCATTCGTGTGACTTTTCCATCGTCATTGTCGTCGGCATGATCCCAGCACTGGTCCTTCGAGTCTGCATGAACAAAGTGGCGAGCTGCCTTGGCATACGACCATCCTTCGTCATCACAATCCACCACGGCTCGTTTATGTTTCTTTTTCGTTGCTTGTGAAGAGGATACTCCCGATGATGACCCGGACAAGTCTTCATTCAAAGAGATGCGTTTCTCCACTCTCCATCCGCCGACCCATTGCCAGGTTCCTCCATTTTCTGGCAATGGGAATCCCTTTTGTAAATTGTAGAGTTTGGTCATGCGGTGATTGGTCAAGACACAAGACGTGGGTGGAGCCGAATCTTGATTGAAAAATGCCAAGAATGGTCGATGATTGTTGTTGTTGTTGCCATTGGATCCTCCGTTGATTCCAGCTTCCGGCTTGGGTTCTTCCGTCGGCAATTCGCGAAACATTTTGGGGCTGGTTCGGAGTTCGGTTTTCCATGTCTTTTTTCTCTTATTGTAAAACTGCCATTCGTACAACTCTTCCTTGGCAAACGCATATTCTTCGGCACGAGGATCCCATGGCATGATTTCCATCAATCGCACCACATGGAGTGGCAAGGAAGGACTCGGTTTGACCGAGTGCAATTCGACTCTGCTGGGGAAAAACCGTTGTCGCGTACTCGCTTGGAGAGCCGCCGCAATGGCGGGTCGTTCCTTTGTCATGGCATCAATCAAATCGCGATATCCCTTCAATTCTGTCTGTAATGCCATGTAGTGTTTGCGAGAGATGGACATCGTCTCGCCTTCCTCACGACTCGTTTCTTCTTGACGCTTTTGGTCCTTTTCCAAGAGCTCTCGCACTTGAGCTTCCAATTCGGCACGCCTCGTTCGCTCACGGTCCAACTCGTCCAGAATCTCTCGGGTCGTCTCATCTTCTAACAAGGCGGTACAGTGGCTGCACTGCAAGTCCATGCTCATGGGGGGCATGATGGGGTTGCTACGATAAGAATGAACAAGAAATAGAAGCAAAAGAAGGCAATCGGAAGAAGTGAAAAAGTCTCAGCAGTTTTTGAAAGGGGAGAAGCTCTTCAAGAACCGTTTGATGTGTGACCCAGGCTTGCTGGCTTATTTATCAGCCACACCTAGCTAGAGCCTGCAAAAGCGTGGACACTCCAGCCAACGTGGAACACACTTGCAACTCGCCGTGTGCGTGGAACATTCGTTTGCTTCCGAGCCTTTGAACATCAAAGTGTCTGCTTCATTCATAATTTGCTTCACCACAACGAGTCGAGTCGAGTCGAGTAGAGTAGAGTTGAAGACAACACGGTACCATGGCCACAAACAATCGCAAGGGAAAACATGAGTCTGAGCCACCCTGCAAGAAGATTCGCAGCAGTGATCCAGATGTCAAAATCATTGTAAAGTATGAAGATGACAAGGGCAAACCAGCAAGAAAGGAATACCAAATGTATGGGCAACGCATCTCCCATCTAAGTAAGTTCTTTGACACTACCTTGTGTGTGGAAATGAAGGAAAAAGCAACAAGAAAAATTGTCCTTCAAGATTTGCATCCAGACCTGTTTGAGAAGGCCATCAAATTCCAAGAGGACTTGAGTGCGATTCGGTCAATGACAATTGAAGATGCTGTGGAACTAGTTGAGTTCTATGACATGTATGACTTTAAGGGAGGGATTCAGCTGTGTGATGATATTATTGCTGAATACTTGCAAGAAGAGATTGACGATGAAGAAGCATCGGAAACACCAATCGCCCCTGACGACCTTGATGTGTTGGTTGATGCTGCAGCGCTTGCCTATCAACACAATCTGGCAAAATCAAAGAAGAAGGCAGTTGACTATCTAACTATGAAGATGGATGAAGAAGAGAGTGTCCATGGTCAGATGATGTTTCAATACAGTCACATTCAGAAGCTTCATCCAATGTTCAAGGATGGCTTGTTTTCTATGACGGATCACATGACTGATGAGGAGGTGGCATCACCCTTGTTCCCCAGATATTTCACGGCAATTGTATCAGACAACCACGGGCGATGCATTTGTGACACCGTCGTATTGTCTGAAACTGATTCAATAGCGGACGGGGAATACAAGAGATGCGGTGTTCAGTACAAAAAATCGGGCTTGGGTGTATGGAATGGTCAACGAAGAAGCTTCCTGATAGATCGTGATGAAGTTTCCTGGGAGATTCTAGCGGTCGATCCAGCAGATGAAGAAGATTATATTGTGTTGTGGAGATGTGTGTACTCGGGCAATCTGGAGGTTCCTCCTCAAGGCCCGTGGGAAGCCGTCGACACCTCGATAGAAGACTTCTTCTGGCCGCCAAAGGTCAGCTACAAGGGAGGTGGGGAGTAACTTGCCAAACTGCCGCTGAAAGAGACCGCCAACCGCAGCTCAAGTCAATACCGGTACCGTATACCCACACCCACAGAAAACACTCTTTAGTAGGGATTATATCAAAGCAATAGACTCTCACTGATTTTCCAGGACTTTATCCGCTTCTCTAACTCGGAAAAGCGAGGGCATGCCAACCGTGGAACACACTTCTAGCTAGTGGCCGTGGAACATAAGTTGTTTTTTTCCACGGAATGGTGAAAATTTCAATGAGCACAGGAGTCAATACATTAGTATGCAAATTCCCCCGTCACCCAGGGGTTTTCTAGGGAAGCTAGACTATCTGTGGAAGCATGTGAGGGGCCAAGGGTAGCGTCAGTACGACTGTACGAGTTTTGATGGTATTTTTTCCAGGCTAGATAATTGTCGTTAAAAATTTGAATAAATACTGGCCATCCATGCTGGTTTGGCGCCATGGCACCCCTTCGAGTCAAAAAGAAGGGAAGTGTCAGCCAGACCACCATGAATGCAATAGAAGAAGTCAAGGGTAGATAATAAAGAACTCACTCCCAAGTGGTAGCCTTTCCTTTGTTGGCAATAGCAACTCATAAGGAGAGTGCTGCTAGAGAGCTGTTTTTCGTCACTCCGTGTCATCTGCTCCCTCCATCCTTTCAGACTCAGTTGGATCCTCTGTGGTAGCCTCTGAGTTGTCTTGAAGGCTCTGCAGGAAGGCCTGTTGCTCCATTGGAGGCATTGCAGCTACCAAAGCTTTGGCTTTGGCTGTAGCAACCTCCTTGTGCCGTCCATATTCAGTGTCATCCAAACTGATATCGGCGGCAATCTTTGAGATAATGTCGGTGAGCTGCCAGTCCTTCTCCTGAGGCCATGGTTCAAGCACATCCACCACGACATCCTTTAGCTCAAGATACCGAGCCAATCGGTCCTCTTTCTTTGATAGTTTGGATGGACAAGCCTTGCCACTCTTCCACGCAACCAAGTCCTTGAGATCTTCGCTTGTTAACTCACTCTGTTGTTTCTCCGATTCAATAATGGCCATGGCCTTTTCTTGTCTCTTCCAGGTAACAATGTATCTTCTTCTCTTTTTCCAGAGCATCAAGCCTCTGCTTCAACCTCTTCCTCTCATCAGCAATAAGGAAGTCATCATCATTGAGAGCAGCTCCTCCAGTAACTTTGAAGACTTGACCTTGAGTTGCGGCTGCCTCCAAGGCATCTTGTCTTTCTCGTGAGCGTGGAACAGTGACACTGCTGCTCTCTTTGCTGCTTGAAACTCTGGTGCTTTTGCACGAAGCAGCTCTCCATTATACCCAAGTGCATTGAGAAGATCACAACAAAGGTCATTCCTTTGGTTCAGCTCTTGAATGTAAGAGGCGTTTGGATCAATCGAATCATCTGCGTTTCCATCTGAATCGACAACTAGCTCCGACGAACCTTTCGATCTTGCAGCGCTGTTCGAGTGAAGGATGGATAGACTCCAAGCTTATCGTTCCAGCAGTGAGTAACTCTTGTGGAAGCGAAAGCCTCTTCGATGGCATTTCGAAGGAGTGGAAAGGTTGGATCTTTCTGCCGTCGGAGAATTGAGCCGTAGCACAACAGACCAATATCATTGCGTGTGATCGAATCAGTTTCTTCCGGTGTGTTCTGCCGATACTCCCAAAGCAATTGAAGGTTTTCAAAGAAGATGGACTTGAACAAGCCAAACAACATGTCCATTATCTGTAGGATGTGAGTGGTATTCGGAGGACCAGACGGAAAGAGATAGATTCCAAGTGACCGGAGCTCCATCAGCATCTCTTTGTTTGTTCGGCCAGGGCCACCATCAACAAGCAAAGTTGCTCGCTTGCCTGGTATATCGGCAGTGTCTTCCAATATCAATGGAATAAAGTTACCTCTAGTCCATTTGCCAAATTGCTCCTTATTCATACCTCCTTTTTGGTTCACTCCGTAGCTGTTAGAGCATCGCTTTGTTGCTCCTCCATTGAGTAGATAACAAGCCTCAGTTTCTAGCATGTCAATAACAAACTCAGCAGGTATCACCATGTCTTCTTCCTTTTGCGCATCTGATGGAATTTGAAAATGCTCCGGAAGCTTCTCTCCGGAGGCAAATGTACCTGCAAGAAGAGTGCAGTGGTAAGAGCTTTTATGTGCGGCGTAGATGGCTTCTCCTTGGAGTCTTGGGTTGTAGAAGACTAGTGGTGGTCGGCCTCCCTTCTGACTCTTTGTATCATCAAGTGTCAGCCCTGATTCATCAATATTGGCTATCCTCCGTCCCTGTGTCTCATCAATCCAAGTGAGCTCACCAGTCGTTGCCACGTCTTCATTGTTTTCGTTAGCTGCTCCAATGCCGATGAAGTGCGCCTTGAGAGAATCATACCAAAGGTTGATGTTGCTGTAAGTACCCCAATTCGCTCTCCTCTTTTCAACACGATTTGGCTTGCCACAGTCCAAAGCATCTCCAATCTCCTTCTGAACTCTCTCGAGAAGCCATCGTCCCGTCCGTGTGCCAAGCCCTTCCTTCTTGTTGACACATGCATTCAATAGTTTTGCCAGCTTTGGTCGATCGATAGTTTCGGTAGCAGATATTTGTGAGAGCGAGCTGAACGTTTCCACTGCTCCGCATAGTGCTTTGAAGCCATGAGGCTCGATTCTACCCTTGGGTCCCCGGCGCTTTGGACTTTTGCCAGCATCTCCACGTTCAACCATATTGCGAATGGTTCGAGGAACAAGCTTCACTCCGTATTCGCTGTTATATCTCTTGGCAATAGTCTCGGCAGAGACTGGCTTGTACATCGATCCTTGAGCCTTTTCCACTTCCACTCTAATTAGTTCCTCCTTCCACTCCAGAGTAGCTGCTTTGTAGAGTGCAGCGAGCTCCTCTCTGTCTTCTTTCTGTTGTTTTCGAAGGGCAGTAGCTTGTCGGCCAGTCAATCGTTGGTTTCTTCCAAGCTTTGCCTTGAGAGATTTTTCCGCTACATTCCTTTCACTTGCAGAGATAGAAGGAGGTGGTGGTGGCTTGGTGGAAGCAGTTTCATTGTCAGCTTTTGCAGCCTCCGATTCAGACTTCAGATTACTGGACCTGCGGCGCACTTTTTGCCGAAGATTTGGATCGCTTGCTTCCGGAGTATCGAATCCAGCAAGTTTCATTGCTACATTAACGTTCATCTCCTTTGAACGCTTTGCCAACTTAAGAATACCAGCCGCCCGTGCTAGTCGCTTGCCTTGTGGCGTCTCTAGACGGCGCTTGGACGCCATGGTGACCTATTTTTGATTTACAAACAACACAAAGTGTCGAAGAGTGAGGCTTTCATTTCCACGATCTATATCTTTTATCACTAGCTATGAAGAAACTATATGTTTGGATGCCATGCTGGACGCTCCCATAACCTTCTTGTCGAAACCATATCACTCTTCTATGAGCGTGTCCATTGCAATCGAGGTGCAATGGTTTCGGAGAGAATTGTGAGGGGTAGTTTTATGGTGGTGGCTGGCGGCATGCCACGTCATGACATGGAAATGGAAAAATTACTGTTTATACCTGTAGTTGGCGGGGGGTTTAGAGTAGGGAAATTATCTACGGAAGCCAGGCGGGGCCAGGCTTAACAAAAGAACAGTCGAAATTCAGGACTAGGTTCTGTGGGATCAGGGGCAAGAAACTGAGGACCATGACGGGGGCCAAAGGGTTTGGCTTTGCGGGATCCACGGAGACATAAATGGGTAGCTTTCACAAGGGCAATTGAGATACGGGTCTGCATGAAGAACATCATTATTTGGGAGTAGGAAAATTGAGTTTTGGAGGCAGTAGCAGAAGCAAGGCGTTGTAAGAGAATTTTGGCTTGGGGTGCAAGCATGCCATCCACGGAAACAACAAAGGGATGGAAGGAAGCACGATTGGAGTCGCATGCTTCTTTATATTTGGAAATTTTGTCGCGTTTTTGTTTGGTTAAAACTTGGACGAGATCTTTGTTTCGGTAAGAGGCACAGTCCAAATCAGTGACACGTACGTCAATAATTGCTGTAGTACCACGTTCGAACAAGCCGCGAATGGAAAGATCACCACGTAAGAGCTCGGGGCTGGAGGGGGATTGAGAGGGGGGGAAGGGAAATTTGGGTGACCGGCAGGGATACTAGGGGCGGGAACAGATGGAAGGGGTGGTTCCGACTGAACACTAGAGGAACCAAAGCATTCACATGCAATACATGTAGAACCAAATTCATTGCGGATTTCATTGGCGACGGATGATTAAGCGCCACGTTTGCAATCCAGAGCATGTGGAACGCTGAAGGGACCAGTACAGCCATCACAGAGAGCTGGAAGAGCTGGAAGAGCTGGGGGGTAAGACCGAACCGGAGAAAAAGAGCATCACGCCATTCTTGAGCAGAGAGGTGAGTGCATTTGGCAATATTGGGCACCACTGTAGTTGAGCAAGCAACAACACGCACAAAGTAGCACTCCATTCATAATTCCAGACAACGATTCATAATTCCATTCAATGAGTCCTCCATCAGTCTAACAAGTCGAAGACAACACCATGGCCACAAACAATGACAAAGGAATTGCAAAGGATGCTGAGCCACTCTTCAAGAACATTCGCAGCAGTGATCCTGATGTCAAAATCCTTGTGAAGTATGAAGATGGTGAGGGCAAACTGGCAACAAAGGAATACCAAATGTACGGACAACATATTTCTCAACTAAGCAAGTTCATTGACACCTCATTGTCTGTGGAAATGAAGGAAAAATCCACAAAGGAAATTATATTTCAAGATGTGCAGCCAGAGTTGTTTGAGAAAGCCATCAAATTCCATCAAGATCTTTGTGCCATTCGGTCAATTACGCCCAAAGATGCCCTCTCTTTGGTTGAGTTCTATGACAAGTACGAATTTCAGCGAGGACTCAATCTTTGTGATGATGTGCTTGTCAGCTACATTGAAGAGCAAAATGCACTGGATATGATGACGCCTCCCCATGACCTTGATCTTCTCGTTGAGGCTGCGTCACTTGCATTTCAATGCAATCTGACCAGGACCAAGGATATGGCCCTCTCGTACTTGGGCTCAAGATTCAAGGATTTGGAGTCTATGTATGGCCGAATTATGTTTGACTCCGGCCACCTTAATAAGCTTCATCAATTGTTTGTGGATGGTCAGTTTGATGATTGTCTCCCACACGATATGACAAAGGAGGAGGTGGCCTCTCCCTTGTTCCCAAAGTATTTTGCAACACATACGGCAGCAGTGTATGGAGGTAGTACTTGTACGGCTGTTGATTTGTCTGGGACCGGCACCGCATTGGATGGGAGATATTCGAGGCACAACAACGATTTCAGAAAAGGGAGAGTCATTTGGAATGCTCGATTTTGCGAGGTGTTATTCGAGAAGGAAACTAATACCGGAGACTGGGCAATTGTCACCGAAGGCCAGGCCGGTAGTAGGCTCGTATTGTTTACATGTCCACACTCCAACATCTTTGGATTCCCCCCTGCTGGGCCTTGGATGGATGTTGATGCTTCGGCCCCAAAGAACGTGCAACCACGTGTAACCCACAGAAGCTAGATACAAAACCGCGGCAAGCCCATCGTCACTCTTGAACCCAAACACTGCTTGTTATTTATAGTAGAGAATCTATTTTATTCCTAGCTGGCTCATTTCGCTCATTCCTGTTTCAATCATCTCTCGGACCTATCAAGAGCCATCAAAACATCCGCAGAGAATTTGTCACCAAGCTCCTGGAGGCTGATGTTCATGGAGTCGACCGCATCGTGTCGGATGTGGAGAAGATGAAGCAGTGAGTTTTCCATCACCACAGTGTGGAAATGAACGACCTTTCGCTTCTGCCCCAACCGACGCAATCTGCCACGCATCTGATGCCGGGAAGCGCCATTTCCAGCATAGACACCCGTAACCATCGAACCCAATCTCACGGCAGAATTGTATCCGCGGTCCTTGTCCTTTGGAACCACCACAATGCCATACTCTGCCGCATTTGATGCTTCCAAGGTATCGAACCCTCCAGCCCGTACTTTGCCTCTAGCGTTGCAGGCAGCGATGAGTTTCTCGGCATGATCCTTGGTATCTGCCACCATGAGAACACCACCATCCCGATGCTTCTTCCTGTCTTCCACCGCCAGTTTCACAGCCTGCTCAACCTTTGCATCAACATTGGTTAGCGAAAAAAGACCATCGAGGACAAAAGCCAACGCCAGGCATTTCTTACCATTGCAGCATTGGTGTGCTGTTGCACCAATTGTGCCATGGGCAACCAACGACGCTTCACCAACAGTTCGCGAAGACTCTTCCTCACAGTGTCCGACATTGGAACCAGATTCAGCTCTTCCTTGCTGGCAATTCCTAGTTCCAGTTGAATCGACACCATCCCACTTGCCGCTACCAAAAGATTTCGCACGTCCACTGGGAACGAGCATGTGTCCGACAACCAAGCCATCAGCTGGCTTTCATTCCTCCTCATGGGCGTGGCCGTCTGTGCTACAAACTTTGCACAAAGCTGGGCCAGACGACGTGCCGCCGAGGTTCTCAACGTTGGTGCGTACAATTCATCAACCTCGTCAAAGACAATGACAGATGCCGGCGCCAGCTCGGTGAGTCCGAAATCGATCATCCCACGAAGATGGTCGGCGTGGATTACATTGATGTGATAATCCTTCAGGATTAAACGGTCGCCGTCTCCAGGCTTCGGCTTCTTGGCTGTACTCAAACGAGGAACCTTCCACACCGGTGCGGACCATGTCATTTGCAATTGCTTTATAAGATTGTCGACGGTGCCTTTGGGTGTCACCCAAATGACTTTCGTCACGTTTTGGCCGTGATGAAGTAACCACCGGTACAGATAGCAGAGGGATGTGACCGTCTTACCCACTCCTGTGTCCATGATAAGGTAATGATTCGACGAGCCAGCTTCTCGATCGCGACGTTTCATGCTTTCAACCGCGCACCGTTGGTGTTCCATGAGCTTTTGCTCCGCTGAGGCCATCCCCCTCCAGAGCGGGTTGTTCGCCCACTTGTTGGTGGTGAGAACTTGCTCATCTTTCGCGCGCATGCCACGAATCATCCATCGCTCAACAAGGCGCAACAGGTTTGCGTCAACGACCGCAAAATTCGGAGGAATGCCGGGGCGAAGGGCACCAGGGGCGAAGCGAGCCACCAACGCTAGTAAACGGAATACCTCCCAATCGCCCTTATACGCGACCAGCTGGTCAGAGCCCAAACCACCGTCAAGGGCGGGAGTGGGGAGTGTCACCTTCACGTACTGCTGGCGAAGCATGGATATCGCTCGTAGCGTCACGGCATCACCAGCACTTGCCGCCAGCTTTCCAATCAGCGTTTCGGCAGCCGGCACCAAACCAGCCGGAGCCTTCTTCGTCAAAGATTCCTCCAAGGCCGCGTCCGATCTCAAAGCAGAAGCCACACCGTCGCCATCAACGCTGGCCCAGACAGGTTCCTCCACCAAGGGAACTACGAGAGTACGCCCCTCCTGAGGGTTCCATGGCTTCTCGTCCAACTGCCAGCACCCGTCACGAAACGATATCGTCTTGGCACTTTTGAGCACCGGGGAGCGCGCTGTGATAGTTTGCTTGCGGGCCTCCGCGATGGCATTGGCGCGTTGCTCGTCCGTCAAGCTACCAAACAAATCTCTGGTCGCTCTTGCGGGTTTCATCATGACCACTTCGTCTTCGGGGCACCGAACACCCAAAATCACCAGCACTTCTCTTGTTGCCTTTCCAATCTTAATCTTGACAGGGATCGGACCCGCAGCGGCAGCAAGCGTCCCGGAGTCCAACGAGAGCTGGAATGTGACAGTCTCTGGTTGGGCAGGAATCGTAGCCAGGGGGACGTGAAATGCAAACCTTGCGACACATCGCTGAGCAAACCGAGTCTCCTTCACCGCTGCCTTTGCCTCGAACCCTTCGCTGCTTGCATGGCGCGGATTGAAGCCCGTCGTTGAACCGAAGATGGTCTGAAACTTCTTGGTAAAGGTTGGCCCTGATGGACCAACGTGCCCGACACCTCGGTATGTGTGCTGGTCGACACAATGAAACAGAGGCATCACCGACAATCGATTCGCTGGGAGACACCGCGTTAATGTCAAACAACCCTTGGTCTTGGCCAGCCCTGCGACAGAGTCCATCATATCCATATCGCCAGGAAAGCTCTTGACAATCCTTAACAGTACGGCAGATTGTTTCAGAGCGCGGATTCCGGCTTTGTCCACTGACACTGTTTTTGGATTCTTAGGCGCAACCTGTTTGCGCCAGGCAATGAGACATGGAGAGAGCGCCGCCTTGGCCGCTAGACGCATCGTTTCGACAACGACAGATTGCGGGGGATGATATTCTGCCATGCGTTGTGTTGCCAGAGCCAATGCCAACAGCCCCAGCACAGACGATTCCGCCTCGTGCACCCACGAATCTTCCACAAGAATGACAGCCATTCGTTTCAGGGCAGACGTGCAGCCCCTTGTATACAGCTGCAGTTCAGGAGAAAAGTTGCCAGCTTCGGTAAAGAGGAGTCCCGCGGATGTGGCTGCTACCAAGGCAACAGGTAAAGGTGGTGCTTCTGGGCCCATAACCAAGGAGCAGTCCACCTGTTCAGCATGAAAACGGATCACCTTTTGGAGCAAGGATTTGAGACCTCCCACCGTGAGCGCCCGAAGCGCGTCGATACAGCTTTGCACCAGTAATTCAGACAGAGAGCGTTCTGGAATCAGACCCTGCAAGCTCTTTAGAATCAGAGCACCAAGCTCGTCCTTGGTTGGAGCGCTTCTGGCAGAGACAGGCAAGCGAAACAAGGTCTGGTCAATTTCCCAGACTTTGGTCTCTGGGGGTGCTCCGTTGTCCCCGGCGGTGATCCATGCAGATGCGTCAACGATCTTATTCTTGTCCTTCAGCGTAGTTTCGTCAACTGTCACTGGACCGACGCAAATCTTGAACAGCTTTGGTCGAAGGATGAGCGTTTTGCCTCCGGGTTGTCCGGGTGTTTGCATTGTGCGTAGGATGTCCTTATAACACACGACCAGTCCTCGCTGTACCATTTCTTTCAGCTGCTCACCATGACCATGCTCCTCTGCAAAATTCTGCCAGACTCCTTGATTGAGAATGACAAAACGAGCAGCCGGCTCGCAGTCGCACGTAGTGTCGCTATGGGTGCAAGCTTGTCCGAGGGGCTGACTGTTGCGGACGTTCTCGATCACGGGGCAATCGTTGTATCTCATGTTGGCCTGGGAAACGGACATGCCAAACTGCTTGGCCATCATTTGCACGACAGCATCCCGGCCCTCGTGAGCTTCCACAGAGCGTCTGATGCCAGCTGGGGCGGAAATAGTGCCTTGCTCTACTCGCAAAACCACATTCTGCGTATCCGCAGCGCATCCTTCCACCATGTCGCCTTCGCGTGCTCCAGTAATAGCAACCGTGATGGTTCCATTGAAATGTTTCTTTGTCAATCTTTTGGCTTCGTCCGTGTCGGCACCAGAACCATCCTCTTTGACATTCCGGGAACGCTTTTTTGCGGGAGGTTCTGACTCCTGTATCTTTTGAGGTGACTTCTTTCTTTTGCCTGTCAACTTCACTGGCATCTTGACGTTGTTTTCATCCTCGTTGGCTTCGGTTATAGCCTTCTTCGTCTTCTTCTTCTTCTTCTTTGTTGGCTCTGGTTTGGTGGCCTCATCTAAATCTTCGTCTTCTTCGGAGTCTGCTACATACTTCTTCCTTTCTCTAGTGCTGCTGCGTGTAGGAACGGGACGTTTCTTCTTTGTTGGTTTCACTGGTTCCTCCTCTTCAAAGTCGGATCCTTCGTGATTCTCACTCAATTCCTCGTCTCCACCCCATTCAAAACCATCATCAGAATCTCTTGTTTTCTTAATAACGCGACGACGGGACGACATCCTTCGGGATCTTTTGATTGTTTTTGGTTTCCTTCAAGTTCTTTATTCTAACTTCGGCTCTACGTTGAGGTATGAATGGAGGCCACATTGCCACATTCCTAAGAGGATAGCATTGCATAGAACATCATACCAATATCCACGACATGGTCAGCCGTGCCAATGGCCCCATGGCTGCTTGAGAGGAAATGGCAAAGATCTTTCCGAACAAGCCAACAGCGCTGTTTACGGTAGTGGGATATATCAAGGTGACCTTATCTCCCCAACTACCGCTACGCTACAAGCCACACAACGTTACAAGTCGCTCGCTACAATCGTTTGCGCCCTCCAGAGTATCAAAACCCCAGCGAGTTTATTTCCAGTCCTTCCGTTCCCTTTTGGTGCCTCCCTTTCTGCTGCGAGGGCTCTCAGATCGTCTGCTCATGGACTGGATCCTGGTTTGTCGTCTGCTGGTCCCGCTCTTTCCTCTAGAAAGGAGCAATCATTTTCATCATTTGCTGCTTCCCCCTTTTCCGGATCTCTCCTGTACTCATGATGATCTTTTTGAGATGATGGTCCCACGGAATCAACCTGTACTTGCAACTCTACCGGATCCCGGTTTGTCTTGTCCTGGTTCACTCTTCTTCCTCACACTGAAAGCAGCAATCATTTTCATCATTATTTGCTGCGTCTCCCTTTTCCGGATCTCTCCGGCCATCATTCTGATCTTTTATAGATGATCCAACGGAGTGAGAATCAACCTGCATTTGCAACTGTACCGAATCCCGGTTTGTCTTGTCCTCCTGGTTCACCTCTTCCTCACAATGAAAGGAGCAATCATTTTCATCAGTTTCGGGTCCCCCCATTTCTGTATCTCTCACGATGCCATTACTATTATTGGATGCCTCCTCTAGAGATTGTCCCGTCTGGACTTGCAACTCTGCCTGCAGCTTGCGCAGGATACTCGTTCGGATGGAACTTCTTTTGGAGGAACTTGTCCTTCTAGAGGATCTTGACAAGTTTTCCGTTTTCTTGCGATTCCAAAAGATAATGGCATTGAACATTCCTTGCAGGGGTGTCATTAGTTTCATGCAAAAGACAATGGGGAATGTCGGTGCTGGCAGGAGCTGGAGAATCACGGCCCAGATCCCACAAAGAAAAAAGAATCCAATGTATTGTAGAGCTTGCAATCCCACTTCTCTGGTCCGTTTCCATTGTCGCGTGCTGTTGTGAGCGGCGCCCTGATGAGCATATTTGCGCAGTCTATACTCGAGCACCATGACTTGGGCCAGAATCAATGCCATGCAAATGACAATAATCAAAAAGGCAAAGAGTATCACACCGGTCGCGGCTACTCTGGCAATGGGTTTAAAGTTCTCCCCCCGTATACAGTCCACATTGGGATCGGAAGAACAATTGGGAGGATAATCCCGGAACCAACAATTCCCCGCCACGGTAGGCAACGGATTAAAGTATCCACCTGTGAGGCCCACCACACAGAATACCACAACCATCAAAATGGGAACGGCATGTAAAAAGGGCTCTATTCTGCGGGCAATGAATTCTTCTTTGAGTTGGAATCTGACTCGCAAACAAAAGTAGAGTGCCAGCATGGCAGTGTACATCATCGTACCAAACAAAATGTGTGTAAAGACACCAGCCGCTTCACACGTTGCCGTAGTCCCGCTGGCACCGTAGGACAAAGCACTCGCTTCTTGTGGGACGGCCCACGATCCAAACACGAGCAATCCAAGTGCACAGGTGGCTTCCATGCAACTCAATCCCAGCATGATTCTATCATATGTTTTAGACCTTGCTCTCTGTTGTCTCCGGTAGTAGTGGGAGGAAAGAATGGAATAGACGATACTGATGGACCCCACCAATGACAAGGATGCAGGAAGGTAGGTGATTAGTCCCAAAGCTTTGAGCTGGATCTCACTGTACTTGGGCTCTATCATGATATGCTGTTGGTTGTTATTATTTTATTTGCGTCGAGTTTTGACGCAGCCACTTGACGCTGTGGCTGCCTTCATCGATCATCAGTTCGCAGCCATTCCATGGTGCCCCACACGAAGCAGCCATGCAGCCCGGATGCAAAAGTTCTTGTTTCTGAGCATTTTGTGACCCTGCCAAAATGAAAACAGCAGAGCTGCTTCCAGCCACCAAACGTCTCTTCCGCTTCTCATCAAAAGCCACACAACAACCATCACAGTTCTGACGTTCCGACCGTCGAAGACCACCGTCTCCCAAGCAAATCTGGCTGTGGCTGACTGTTGTTGTCGACAGTTGGTCTACTATCTCGTGTGCCTCGCCTAGATTAGGTGGACACCGTTTATTGGTCAGAGAAGAGGAGGCGTTGGTTCTGAATTGGTCGCTTGGTCTACTAGGAGTCAGTCATTTGGCATCTTTTGGCGGAACCATCCCACTGCTATAGTAAACAATGTCCGACTTGACGGTGTACGCCGAAGCGTTGATTGCGACTGTGGCTCGTGCGTTTTACGACGACGATGCAATTTGCTTGATCGATGTATTGATTCGCGATAAATTTCTGCGCGACGATGACATGGCCCCACGGTTGAGTCTGCCGGCGAAAAAACTGCGAGCGACGCTTCAGTTTTTGCAAGAAGAGCACTTGGTCAAGAGCGAAACGGTGGACGATTTAGCACAAGGTGGTTCGCAGGCAACCAAATTCTGGTACATTGACTACAATCACGCCGTGCATACCATTCGCTTTCGATTGCATCTCTTACGAAAACAATTGGAAGCGGCCGAATTGAGGGCGCGGAGTTCCAGCTTTTACCTCTGTCCGGGATACAAGGACAAACGATGCAATGGACGATACACGGAAGAAGAAGCACAGCAAGTTGTGGATTTCACATCGGGATTGTTCTTGTGTCAAGAATGTGCCATGAGTTTCGAAAATGATCCAAATGCTCCTCCCAAGACCGATTACACGCTGCATCTAGTTGACAATTCACGACATCTCAAAGAAGCAGTCGACAATCTGAGGTATGTCAGTGCACACTGTTTATGCATTTGTATCGAGAAAGAATTGATATTCACTGTGGTGTGATCTCACTTTTGTTTTGTGTTGGTCTTTTTGTTGGGTCTTTTTCCTTCCATTTTCTAATTGACATCGCAGACGAGTCACGGTACAGTTGTCTGGCAAAACCATTGGCAATCATCAAATTCGAAATGGAATATACGACTTGCTACAAAAAGTAAGAGGAAAGGGAAAAAGTCCCATTACATCCAATCTACCTTCGGAAAACTTTGCCCTCGGCATTGGATCCAAACGGTTGGCAGGAACTGGTCGAACCGCCGGAATCAAGGCTCGGAAACTCGAGCAACAAGGGGTTGCCGATTCGGCCAAATCTGCCAAGAATTATTTGGTGGGAGCCGGTCGTCGCTCGGCCGAAGGAACCGACGATGACTTGACGTTTCTCAAAAATGCCATGGGCAATGAAATTGCCTTTTCGGTGGAAAAGGGCGGCGGCGCCCGGGCCAATCTACTCGCTACCAAACGACGACGACGCTTAAAGTTGCTGGATGCCGCCGCCAGTCGGGTCGGCCCCAGTCTCCCCTTGCATGTCGTGCAACAACGAGAAAAGGAACAAAAAGCTAGAGAGGAAGCAGAAGCTCAAGCGGCGGCCGAAAAAGCCGGCAAGAAACGGAGAAAACTCAATGCGACGGGTGGATTGGATTTTTTGGAAGATAACATTGGACGGGCGAATCTGGAAGATAAGGGCAAGACTCGATTGATGGCGGAAGCGCTCAAAGAAGATGAATTAGATGACGACAATATGGAAGACGAGGAAGAGATTCGAGGTCTCGTGTTGGCGTACGATACAGAAGACGTGCTTCAATTGACGGATGAAATGCGCAAGGCAGCCTTTCAATCGCAGTACAAGACGGAAATGGGGCGACAAGCCAAGATTCTGAGATTGCAAGAGGAGGCAGGGCCGGGTGGAACCAGTCCCAACAAAACGTCGCCGACGGCCGTCGTGACGGATGCCGAAGACAACAATGTCGAGTGGGAGGATGGTTAGAGTAGAGGACGGAATGGAATGAAGAAAATCCAGTAGAGCTCCTGCCCGGCAAGTCGCACTGAACGTATTGGTGGGCAACTTTAGAGTTTAGTTTATAATGCATTAGGCTATTGATTCATTCATACAAGCGGTACGTCGAAGCTACATGTTGATAAGGTTCGTAGCCTTGGTTCTGCGATGCATGTTGGAGCCGCAGACGCATCATTCGGTCCCCAATAAGCAACGCTGTTGACTCACACGCAGAAAGCGATGCATGTTCCTCAGCTGTAATTCAATCGAATCGGCGGCGGTAGTGGGAAGTAGATACCGTAGGGAACTTCCTAGATCTATTGTCCGCCCTTTGTTTCCTGGGATGGTTGCCAGTTACCTTACTACCAAAGTTCATACACGAAGCCTCAGCCAGCAGCTCTGCATTGCCCGCGGACTAGAAAAGTGTGCCGTGGGGGGCAGTGACCTGGATTGAAGAGAAAACAGGCTACTAATTGAGTAGCAAATAATTGTGCCGTGCTCCTAGTAATCAAAAGTCAGCACTGAATCCTTTGCAGGCTGAACTTAATAGAAGAAGAAATTGGCATGCAAATCCATCTACAGGATAAGGCAGCCAGTCATCAAGACATGGCGCTGTGCTTTCGTTTGATTCCACAAGCAGCATTCTTTGTGCTGCTGTCTTGTGAGTTGCTACTTGGATGACTCCATTTGCCTGGGTTTTCATGCAAAAGTCCATAAAGCATATTGAAAACATCGTCATCTGTGGTGGGGTGATTTTGCTCTCCCTCCACAGCATCAAGATAAATTGTATTCTCTTGCACCTCCACCAGCAGATCTACAAATCCAGCTGTGGTGGTTTCTGGTACACATGCATTTTTGCGGCCCAGAAAATTGAGGGTTGTGTAGAAAGGCAGCAAGTGTTGGCTTGGATGCAATTCACTGCAGAGGGTTCCATTCAGATTTTCATCTGTGCAGCCATCACAAAGTCCCGCACCATGTAAAGTTGTATTGGACCTCAGGAGAATACTTGCTAAAATTTCATGGTATCTCTTGAACTTGTCCGGTTGCATATTCAGTTGGCAGTAGTAGAATTCTTGGAGGGTATGATTGCTGTGCAGCGAATTGAGAATTGGATCCAACCCATTTGCTGATGTGTCACTTGTTGCCCGGATTGTCAATGCCTCCAGTAAGAAGTTGTTGCAGAGGAAATTGCTGATCATTGCTGATGCCTCGTCAACATCAGTTTGGAGCTTTATAGACATCTGTTTCAGACAAGGCATCCCTCCCAAGCAATGTTCCAGGAAATCAAAAGCCAGTGGATTGTTTGAACGTGGAGAAACATAAACCTCTTGGATTTTACATTTTGGCAGCAGCTGCTGGAATGCACCTGAGTTGAACCCTGCTGATTTTCCATGTTGGTCTTGGGAAGGTTCAGGGAATCTGAGTACGAGAATCTCTACGCTCTGATTTGAGAGGATTTTGCGGACAAATTCCAAAAATCCACCCACTTCCCAATCAGCACACCCGCTGACAATACATTTTATGTCCTTGCTGTCCAGCACTGGTGCCATGCCCAACACTGCTTCCATATCCATTGCTGTCCGTTTTGTGCTGGCATTTTCATCAACGGCAACCCACGGAGCAACACTTTAGATACCATCAATTGTGTTTGTAGGCAAATTGACTTTGGGTGTCTTTCCTGCAATCCTTTTGAAGAGGCTTTGGGTCAATTGAAGGCTGTATTTCCAGTTCAAGACTGAAATCAAAGGAAGTGGAAGCAAGTAATATGGACCTTTGGGCATCAGTATTTCTGGATTGATATTAGCCATGGTAATGACTTCACTTTCAGTGGGTCTACCAAGTCCTGGTCCTTGATCCACAGCAAATCTAAAGGCCTTCTTATTTACCAATCCAGGACACTTTGTGGCAAGAAAACCAACTACTCCTGGTTTAGCACCGCATTTGAGGACATTCATGAACAGCTCTTCCGTTAGTGCTTCTGGATGGAACTCGTAGAAAGTTTTGACAGTTTCCAAATCAGCCTTTGCCATCAAACCATTTCTAATGGCTGATGCTTCGATACAGTCCAGTTGCTGGTGGGCACAGGGTTATCAAGAGCGGCAAAGAGGGTTGATGCTTCCATCATTGCTTGTTTCTCCGTGCTCCAACGTGCCTGAACGAGAAGAAGAATGAAAGGCCGTGGGTAATTTCCCTACTCTAAACCCCCATATAATTTTAAAATAAAAGGCCGTTGTTATTGAAACAGTCACGAAAGCTGATTAGTCACGAGCGTCAAAGAGGTTGGGGTTTTCAATGCCGTTTCTATTTCCGTGAAACTAACAATTTCGGTGAAATTACCACGATTCTTGCCCAGTTTCAATAACTTTCAACTTTATTTCAGAGCACGTCCGGTACACTGTAGATCTATGATACTCAGTAGCTAGCTAGATAGCTATTTAATTGGGAGCATCCAGAAAAAAAAGCAAGATGGATGGGAAAGATCCCACTGGCAGGCTACTTAGGGCAAAAATATCGAGGCTTTCTTGCACGAATGGACACGTCAGCCAAATCAACCTTCCAACTTACCCCGGAAGGCTTCCTGGGCATGTTGGCAAGAAGCAATAATTTACTTAACACAATTGAAATACTTAGACAATTTGGCTTCTAAACATCCTTTTACTATATGAAATTCAGTACTGCTTAGAAGCAAATAGATCTATCTTGCCTTTTATTTCTGGCATTCCTCTCAAGTTGACTTTCCTTTTTCCAGGCAGCTACTTTATTCGCTTAGACAGTCAGCACGCCAGTGGGATCTTGCCCATTCATCTTGCTTTTTTTTCTGGATGCCTCCATTAAAATAGTCTATTTTCTAAAATACTCCATCCAGATTAGTAAAACTCAACTTCGGGGAGGAGGGGGCAATACAGACTGGACTGTACACGTGAGGGTTCTCTAGTAGAGGGCAAAACATACATGTCTACCGAATTCAGAAGCCAGCTTCAGATTTATGGTACCAGTATAAGGTAGATATGGTAAAGCTTATTATTCACATCATGATGCTTTAGTAAACGTGTGACCCTACTGGTATACGTACGCTGTACGCCTGTATTACCCGAACTACATGTAGCTCCCGAACTATCAAAGACAAAAGGACAAGAGTTCCGAATGAAGCCTCAACAGCCTCATTGCCACCACCCCCTGCGGAAACCGGCAGCAAAGCACATCACCATTTTTAACACGACCACATCGAAAGGCGCAAATGATATTGGGTACGACTGTACAACACGACAACAGAGTGGTTCGGTACCACAGTACAGCAAGGCAAGGAATGGATGCGGGGCATTTGAGTCAGTCTGGTGAGGATGGATAATCATCATCCGAGCAGAGTCCTTGCAAGAGATTCGTCGAAACCAATAGACAAGGATACCGAGATTGATATTACTGGTAGCAACACAGAATCGCATCGAGAAAGCATGCATTTGAGGAGTTCTACCCAACGAAGGGGCGCACCTCCTATGGTGGGAAGGAGAGTTTCTCTGACCGATATTTTTCCCGAGAACGTGGCTCAGGCATTCAAAGATGGGACAGAACTCGAGCCAACACAGAAGGAATGTGCCACAATCTACTTTTCGGATATTGTTGGTAAGCCAACTGCGTGCTTTTTAACTAACATTTTCCTTGTCTGCGAATGGTTGTGGCCATCATGAGTACTCACTAATGTTCGATTCATTCTTTTGCTTCTGCTCCTCCCCATTATCCCCTCAGATTATACCGAAATTTCTGCTACCCTCCCTCCGAGCAAGGTGGCTGACATGCTTCGAAGACTTTACAAAAAGCTTGACAGGCTGGCCATGATGCATGACGTGTACAAAGTGTACGAGGAGAACAAGTCGATGTACCAAGTGGATTGATTATTGTGTGTCTTCTCATGTGCCGTATGTCACTTTCAACCCTACATACAACACAGAGAAACGATTAATGATGCCTTCCTCGCCGTCGCCAACTGTACGTTCGTTCGATCTTTGTGTGCTTTCAATAATGCAACAATAATCCGCAACTACTTATGCTATTCCCTGGCATTGCTCTTATACCCCCACAAATTTTTGTTGAAGTGGTCAAAGACCAGGAGGAAGACCACGCCAAACGAATTGCCGAATTTGCCGTGGATGCCGTGGCTGCTGCGAAAACTATACCGATTGACGAAGACAATGAGGATAGGGGCTTTTTGAACATTCGAGTGGGGTTCCACTCGGGCCCTGTTTGTGCCGCTGTTCTGGGAACCATCAATCCAAAATTCAGTTTATATGGGTGAGTGTTGTCAAAGAAAACACCTATTTAATGTCGCCAATGAACGCTGTCAGCTCACCTGCAATCTCTTCCCCATTATTTTCAGAGATACAGGTACGAATATACATGTAGGCCAACTTGGACTGCTGAGATTGGGTTGTTCCGGAAACTCTCTCTGACTCGACTCGAACAACACTTAATTCTGGACTCCCGTCAATTATTCATAAAGTGAACACGGCTTCTCGCATGGAGTCCAATGGGGAACCGTAAGCAGCAAAAAGCATTGTGATGCATCCTACCTCATAGAAGCAAGTCTGGCTCACTTTCTATTTATTCCATTGGATACGGTACCAATAGCGGTCGAATTCATTGCTCCATTGACTCTGCAAAACTCCTTAAACAGCAGTGCCCTGACATGCCAATCTACTGTAGAGGTGCCATCGAAGTGAAAGGCAAAGGCTCGATGCAGACATTCTGGGTGAACGAAGAGAACGAGAGGCCATCCCATGCGGACAGTATGCCAAAATTCTCAAGGCAGACATCAAGAGCCAGAAGCACCAGCCCCACGATTTCAAGGGCAACGACGAGAGAGAGCAGCAGGAGCCCCACGCACCATGAGGCATGCCGGTGTGATCCTCCAAAACATCCCGAGCGTCGGGGCAGCTTGGAGGAGGATGAAGCAACATTTTTTCATGAGGCAACCTGCCAAAATCACCACAACCACACACATCGTAATGAAAAAAATGCAGTCCACCGCGGGGAATCGCAAAGCGATGATGACTACAGAAAACCTGGTCACCACAATCAACCCTCTCGTGACCATCATGGCCACCGCGATCGCAGTACGTCCCCAATGCCAAACTTCTCAAGGGAGACATCGAGAGCCAGCAGCAGGAGCCCCACCAACACTGAGGCATGCCAATGTGATCCTCCTAAACATCCCCACCGTCGGGGCAGCTTGGAGGAGGAGGATGAACCAACATTTTATCATGAGACAACCTGCCCACAACGCCGCAACCGCAACCACACACATCGTACTGAAAAAAGGTCAAGCCACCACCCCAGGGAATCGCAAAGTGGCAACGACTACAAACCTGGTCACCACAATCAACCCTCTCGTGACAATAACGACCACCGTGATCACAGTAGGTCCCCAACGCCGGACCTCTCCCGTCAATCAGGTCACATCGGATCAAGCTATGCAAATGTCAACCCACCACGTGAACGTGAAGTCATCATGCCTCATGACATTGAGGTTGACAACTCCCGTGCCATGGAATCTTTCTCTAGACTGAGCATAGTATCAGATATCACAGAATTCACCGCAGATTTCAATCCCCATGGCCCTGGGGGGGACAGCCGCCAGAGCTTTGGACCCCATAGCCATCATCACGATGGGCGACAACAACAACAACAACAACAACAACAACATCATCAGATCCCTGGACCTCCTTCTTATCAGCAGAATCAGAGCTTTGGACACAATAGCCAATATCGGGATGAGAGGCAACAACATCAACACCAGATCCCCGGACCGCCTGCTTATCAGCGAAATCAGAGCTTTGGACAATATCAAGATAAGAGACAACAACAACATCAGATCCCCAGACTACCTCCTTATCAGCGAAATCAGAGCTTTGGACAATACCAAGATGAGAGACAACAACATCGTCAGATCCACCGACCACCGGCCAATGAACTAAATCAAACTTGGCATCCCAGCTTCGGGCAACACCCACAACCGCAACAAATCCAGCGGCAGTCATATCACCAGCAGCAATATCAGCCACCTCCCCCCCCAAGCCATCATATGCAACAGCCATACCACGCCCCTCCTCCCACCCAGTATCACACGCCCCAGACGGATCTGTCCCATATTCCTGTTCCTCCACATCATCCAATGACCCAGCAGTATCAAACTCCTCGCCCCCCACAGCCACAGACACCGGCCAACAATCCGCTCAAGGTTGAGATCGAACCTGGCGTGTTTAGGACATTGCGAGGGAAAGATGAGACCCTATATGCTATGGAATGTCGCTTCATGATTGATCTTTCCTGTATGGTGTGTACAATAAATGTCAGCTGCATTGCAGATGCTGAATTTGTTCTGTGTCCAGTCTGCAAGAGTGTTAGTCCAATTGTGAAAAACACAGGAAATGGAGGTGGTGTTGGGTTGGGAGTCGAACCAGATTAAATTCCTGGGACTAATGTTTCCGTTAGGGGGGACTAGCTTGTAGTTCTGCTTGCATGTGTTTTTTATTAGAGCCTGCTAGTATACCGGAGGTGGAACCGTTCTGGCAGACCCAAGGTGGCAAGTTTGGTCAATAAGGCGTCGACTTCCATTGCTCCTTCTCTCTCTTTCTCTCTCTCTCTCTGGTCCTGTGGGACTTCCTGTGGGACAAACAGTAGCAATACCGGCACAGATCAGCCATCGGCCCTACCGGTATGTATTAGTGATAGCAGTGCATGCTGATGTTGCTAGAAAAGGGCCAATTTGGGAGTGGGGATAGCTGTGAAAACAGGGATCCCAATGGTAGAACCTCGTGGAGCCTGCAGAATGTCGTTTCAGCAGAATTCAATTGCGTACCCGTGGTTCATCTCACTATCCTCAAAGGTACAGCGGTACCAGTACGGTTCCAGGTGAACGAGTTGTTTAGTATGGGTTAGATGGGGCTACGAGTGTGAAAGAATCGGGGGAGGAGTCGTGATCAGAGATCAGAGATCCAGCGGGCTGAATTCGATGAGCAGGCCGACAGAAGGAGATTGCAGGCAGGGGAGGACCGAGTGTAGATATTGTCAGGGGAGGGAGAGGGCAGTGACCGACTAGCTAGCGGTAGAGGTGGAGGGCACCACAGTCGTCCCGTTGCCTAGACAAACATGAAACTGGACACGAGAGCCACGGAGGCACATGGTCGCAGTGCGAGCAAGAGCAATGCTCAGATGGGCAGAAATGAAAGACCTGAGCACAGAGTAGGGCTTGGACCACTTGTGAGCCAAAAGCTGAGATATGCGGTACAGTACTGGTACATAAGCCAACGCTAACGATCCATGACTCCAGAAGAATCTGCAACTTCATGATTTCTTCTTTCCCATCAACGACAACAGTTTGTGTGACCAACCCCAGAAAGATTCCCTTTTGCATCAAAAAGCCCTACTGTGGCAAACGAGTGGGTTGTCCACCTGCCAAAGAGACTTGGAAAGGCAATGAATCGCTTCGGAAACACAGTCTCTACTTCTTGCGACAAAATGCGTGGACGAATCCGTACTCTTTCAAGAAGCACCCCACGCCAAAACCAACGTACAAGGAAACTGGCAGTGGTCACGGGGGTCACCAAGGGAGGCATTGGGTACCATATCGCAGAAGAATTGGTGGCGACGGCCGAAATGCATGTGATCTATTAGGCAGAAACCAAGCCAAATTGGATGCGGCTCGTCACACCACCACACAATCATCTACAAGATCCGTCCACAGGCGGTGCTCCCGACGAAATCATAATGACGAATGACCATGGCCAAAAACAATTTACAGACAGCATCATGGCACCCACCATCATGTACGGATGTGCCAAGTACGGATGATTGCATCCGCCATTGCCTTGTCCAAACAACATCCAAAAATCAACTTGACCGCCAATCGTCCGGGATCCGTTGTCTCCAATGCCGTATCGTACATGGGGCTGGCAGGAGCCATCTACTTTTATGGATTCTACTGGTTTCAGTACGTGTCGCCCCAGGGAGCCGTGCCATCCATACGGGCCGTACTAGATCCCGACTTTGATACGGTCGAATAGCTCCAAAACGGTGTCTATCTCCATTGCGATGCCCATCCCGTCCATCCCGATGCGGTCACGTTGGAAAACCATTCAAACACAATAACCCTACAGCAGTCTGGAAGAGTATGCCCTGGAACTGACAAGTGCCACGAAAAAACTCATCGTTAAAACGGTCATGATGGAGACAAATATTGCAAATAATGGCTGACTGATTGTGGAGTTGAGAGGACAGGAACCACCAATTTGGACACGACAATCTGGTTTTGTGGCCCCTTGAAGATCCATCCAACCTTGAGTCTGTTGACTAACGACTACTATCGGTATGTTTTGACTAGTCTCGTAAGCTGAGATCACCTTGCCATTCATTTTGCGCTTTTCTTCCTTTCCATTTTATGCCTTCGTCTTCTACCACGTGTGATCTTTCTCTGTACACTTTCATTCGTTGTTCATTCCGTTTAGTTTTTGTTGTCGCCTTGTCTGAGACGACGACGGCCACCATTGCCATTATCAACTTTTTCCTGGCAGCCAGTACAGTCGGCAGTGCAACCACTTGGAACGTAAAGGTTTGCATCCAAGCCATTCAAATATGGACCGCCAACGGTGGAACCACCCATGCTGATCTTGCAATCCTTGTCCACACTGCAGGCTCCATTTGTGCACTGAATGCTAATGGGGCCCTCAAATTTTGTACCATTCACAGGGCAGTTAGTCTCCCGAGACCTGATGCATTGGGCCAAGGAAGGGCACCAGGTGTAGCCTGCTGATCCAACACATCCATGCTCATCTCTGTCACTGCCCGCCATTGCTGCTTTTGCAGTGGAGAGAGTTGCAGCCGCAGCACTTTGACTCGCAGCTGCCAGTGTAGAACTTTTGGCCGATCCATTTGCCTTTGGGCAAAACCACATGACACACACTCCCCATGAAGGACACCAATGCCAACCATCAGTTTTACCATCAGACCCAATGCACTTACGCTCATCCCCACTTCCCTGTGTTGTAGGGCACTCGTCCACCCCTTGTAGGACACATTCCTTTAAGGCAGGACACCATGTAGTACCTTGTTGGTAACCTGCGTCATCCGTGCATCCATCGCCAGTATTTCCTTGCGCTGCTGCTTTTGCCAACACTGGAGTTGCAGCCGCAGCTGCAGTTTGACTTGCAGCAGCTGCCAAGGCAGTGTTTCCTACGGATGATCCACTGCCACATGTGCAGTCAACGTCATAGAAATCGGGCTGATAACAAATTTGCAGGGCAGGACACCATTCCCAACCAAGAGAACTACCATCGGTGCCATCAAAACATTCACGGTCATCCCCACTTCCCTGTGTTGTAGGGCACGTCTCATCCTCGTTAGGATCGATACAATGTCTTGTGGTTTGACACCATGTAAAACCTGCTTGGTAACCTGCATCATCAGTGCAACCATCGCCAGTATTTCCCCATGTTGTAGGGCACTCCTCCTTCTTAGGATCGATACAGTCCCATACGGTTGGACACCATGTGTAACCTGCTGGGTATTCTGCGCAATCATGGGCACAATTAGGAGCCGCTTGAGATGATTCAATCATCATCATTGCTGATGCGACCAAAAAAAGCAAACTGGTGGAGGCTTTTGATTTGTTGTTGTTGATAATAAAGAGCTTCATATTCTTTGTGTTTTGTGTTTGTTGGTTACTGTTGTTTGTGTTTTGGTTTTGTGAGAGGGAAGGTAAAGGGAGTCCAGCCACCGTACCGGTACCGTACCAGTCCCCGAAAGGAGCCCAGAGTGAAACGCAAGAAGCAAAGTGCGAAGCGTGACCGACTGTGCCTCGTTTTCGTACTATTTTTAATAGCTGGCTAGCTAGCTAGCTAGCTAGCTAGCTATTTAATAGTAGTGGTACTGCATGCCCACAATGCAACGTCCCCTAAAGAACATGAAGTTTCAGAAGATCTTTTCAGTCATGAGTCTGAGTCATGGACTTCTAATCATTAATCTTTCGTCCTTTTTGGCTTTCTCGTGTTCATCATCACAGACGGCGACAGCTTCCCAAGCCATCCATCGCGACTCGCAGAAGATGAAGGTGACCACCATGACGATGACAATGAGAATACGACGACGACTTTTGTTTGCTGTACTTCTGCTGCTGCTGTCGTTGGATTCCGTACGGAGTACTTGGTTGGTCTGTGAAGAAGAAACAGAGTCTTCATCATCCTCTAATAATAATAATGAAGAAAGCAACGACAGCGACGGCAAAAAGACGACGAAGAACAAGTTGAAATGTCAATTGGACATGTCGCTGCAAGACGTTCTCGATACGTGGAATGCCGACTGTGAACTTTCCGAAATTGGTGTCTCTTGCAAGATGGAGTTGGATCGGGACAGTATTGACAATACGAATGGATTTGTGTCTCTCCCTCCAAAAGACCAATTGAAGACTGCCTGCGACCAACACAATGAGGTTTGCATCGTTTCACAAACTGTTTCAAGATTCAAGTTCTCCACTCTAGAAGCACTGAAACAAGCCACGCAAAAAGTTGACAATACAGAAACAACAGACACAACAGCAACCAATTCAGATGAGACATCCACAGAATCAACTGAGACGACCACAAATGCAGATGTTGATGATTCCAATTCTGAACAGAGCCATCATCATCATACCCATCATACTCAATACACTTCATCCTCCACCACCATGTCGTCGTCTAGCGAAAAGATGGAATTTGGCATTCGAGTCGGCAACTACATGTACAAGGAACCCTGGGATCAATATGCCGCTCCACTGGCACGCGTCTTGAGAGCCAGAGCCTACTTGTGGCGGACATCTCCCACCAGTTTTCAACAACAATATGCCTTTGCGAATGCATTACTCGATATTGGCATTAGTCATTTCACCAGTGTCACGGAAGAAGACCATTCGCCCGGATTTCACAGCGGTGATCCCAAAATCAACACGGATTCCTTTGATTTGTCCTTGGCCATTCGGGCGTTGGAACAGGGACAAGTGCATTATTTGAGAATACTCGATATATACCAAGGAACGGATCAAGAATCCATTGTGCACGCCAGTTTGGCAGCACTCAATCTACAATGGGGAGAAATATTGCAGTCACATCATTACTACAATCATTTTGATTTTGACGCAACATCAACGCAAGAAGACTACGAGGATGAGGTAGAGACCATTCAAAAATACAATCAACTTGCCATGCAACGATTCCAAGTCTCAGAACAGCATTATAAACTCAGCTTAGAAACAGTTGAGTCCACCACTACAACCAACAACAACCCGGAAGAAACAGTCGATGGTGAAAACGAGAATGATGATAATGACAACAAGAAGGAGGAAGGCAGTATCGTTATTACCGAAAACCACATCAACCTGGCACACGTGTCACAACGAATCGGACGATGCATGGTCAATTCCATTCAAGCGTTGGCCATGGCCGAGGAAGAAGTAATGGCACACAACAACATGAATGGCGAACAAGCACAAGCAAATCTGGCCGAAACCTTGAGCAATGCACTCCCACAACTCGACAAACTCATGAAAATCGTTGCCCAAGCCGAAAAAAAGTTTGAACAAGCCGTCAACTTGTACCGTGCCGCCATTGCGCAAGAGGATGATCCAGCCAAGAAAATTAATCTCAAAAACAACCTCGCCACGACGCTTCAAGACTACAGTGTTGCCACTTCCTATGATGCTGCTTCCAATAATAATATCCCCAAAACGATTGCATTGCAAGCGGAATCCGTCGTGCTGTCGCAGGAAATTCTCGATTACATGTCGGAATACGATCGACCCATCATGATTGGCTACGTCGCCAGTGGATTGTATGCACTCAGTGGATTTTACATGCAGCTAGGGCAGTACGATGAAACATCGGAACACTACGACAAGGCCATGGATTGGTACGACATGCACGATTTGGAACCCGTCAACGTCGTCGGAAGTTTTGAGCAAGTTGCCGACGAAGATTTGCAAGTCTACGAAGATCAATTGACGGAATATCACGAACTGTTGCGAGAAATTAACATGCCCGATGGATATCCCGATCAGCATGTCATGTACGAACCCAATGACGCGTACGAGGCCGATCTGCATGCCGCCTTGGCATCCGCCCACTTGTCGCGCGATGAAAATTTAATGGCGATTGATCACTTTTTACAGGCCATTCGATTGTACGAGGATGATCGAACGGGAGAGAACTTGAGTCGATCCATTGCCGATTGCAAGGTGAGTTGAGTTTGGGCACGTACGTTCGTGGGTGCAACTGCTAGCTATGCATAGTGTGCTACGACTGTACTAGAGGAGGGACGATCGAGGTGGTTGGTCCGGCGGATTGATCCGACGTTCTTCCAGTACTAACGCTTTTCTCCTCTTTCCATTCATAAAGACTAGCTTGGCGGCAGCCTACTTTAAGGACAGCCAATTCCAACAAAGTGCTGAAGCACATAGGGAAGCAATGGAAATCTACCGTGAGGTAGTAGGTGAAGGAAAGAATCCCATGTTGGCCAGTCTGGCAGATCAGTTGGGAGTAAACATAGACGACCTTGGCCAGGTTAACAATTTGGATCTCTTGGCGTCGTCAAATATCCAAGAGTTGATTTCAAACCTAGATGTGGACGAGGAGGTAAAAGCCAGCTTGGAAGCGCTGACGTCCAAAGGGAACGGCAAACAGGACACACAGTCGTCCGAGTCGTCAACCAACTCACACCAAACAGCAGGCACGAATGCAAATAGACAAAAAGGCCAACAGAACCATCAACACGACAATGCCGGTGCAGCCCAGGAGAACAAGGCGCAACAGAAGGTGCACGAGGAACTGATTGACCTGGAAAAATTACGGCAGAGTGCATTGAACGCAACTGTCCACGAAGAACTCTGAGCGGACCAGAGGCGCCCCAATTGCAATCACGACAACAAACTTTCTGAATTCTTGGGGTTTTTGCTCCTGCCTCTACTACATGGGTCAGTCGTTGAAACTTACAAACAGTGCAGGCCAGCCTCCAGGTGCTTCCAGAGCTCTGCCTGGATGCCCCCGCATTTGAAGAGCTGCTACCGGTATACCAAGCGTCATCCGAAGCTACGCTGGACGATATTTTCCGCTTGCCTGGAAGATGCAGTTCCAAATCAAAGCCACTAGAATTCACAATGCAGCACACTGCAACACAAGACATCACGTAGAATGTAAGGTTCCACAATGTGGTATCGAACGTAGCACGTCCTCTTCCGTCCAATAAAAGACGGGTTTTGTTATCGTTCTACTCTAGCGCTAGCCAGCCAGTGTGAAGTACATGTACTGCGATGGAACCGTTGGCAGGGTCGGTGCATCTACCAAAAGAGGGAGCGCCCTTCCATGTTATGGAACGTGGAAGACCATTTTGGGATTCTGCATGAGATCTGAACTATCATCCAAACAGTTTCCGTACCTGGTACCGGTACATGTAGTCAGTCGGTGTGGTCACGGGGATTGGCTATCTTTCGATCGGCGAAGTCAGTCCCTGCTGGAAGCACGTATCAACTTTCACAAAAATATCTTCAAAGATCTTTCACAATGACCTTCAGGGTCCATCTCACTGGGCGTCGACACATGGACCTACTGCGATAACCGGTGTTCCGCTGGGTGCTGCTTCCGAGTGGTACGTATGGCTTTCTCTTGCCATTTCAGCAACATCTACCTACGTATTTCATAACTTTATCCGCAAACGTTTCCAAGTACTTCTCCCAAACAACCATGAAATTGATTGCCGTCTTGGAAACCAATCAAATCGAAGTGCCGCGACAAGATGTTCGTGAGGCTCTTGCTGCGAGTCCAGACACATATTTGGCAGCCCAACAACAAGTCATGAAGCCCCAATTGATATTTGGAGTGCAGTATGTTCTGGATCATATTCCCAAAGATGAACTGGTCGTTCGCATGGGATGGGCAGCATCAGGCCATCGAATGCTAGGAGCGCCCATTCTGGGCCTTTTCGTCTTGACCAGCAATCAGCTCCTTTTTGTGCGGCAGGATCCCTCGACTAAACAACCCGTTCTTCAAGAGTACCCACTGTCCGGCATCTCCAAAGTATCGCAATCGGGATGGCCCCTTGGATTGCGAAAGTTGCATTTTACAGCCAACGGAGAAGAGCATACCTTGGAACGTGTCCACAAGGATAATGCTAGCTATATCGAGCAGGAGCTATCCAAATAGACATGCCTGCTGTGCCTGTAGCCAGTATAATAGAATAGGCTTAATTTAATCGCTTTAGGCTCATTGTGCGTTATAGCAACGGCGCATCTATGAATTCAATCTCAATCGGCCACAAGCATTATTTGAGAGCATGCACTTGTCCTCAATTGTGGCCCCTGATCCCACGGAATCTATCCATAGAGTCCCCAATTCAAGCTCGTCTTTGCCAAAGCCTGCCCCCTTGCCCCCTTGCCCCCTTGCCCCCTTGCCTGGCTCCAGATAACTCAACTCCCCCCCCCCCCCTCAGTGCCCATTGTAGATACATGTACTGTCAACCTTAGCATGTAAAGTACAGTAGTGCTGCTGGCTTATGTAGAAAGATATGGATGCTGCTCGCAGAACAAAGATCCTCATAAAGAGAGGTCTTCGATGGTACCAGCACCCCGTCAGTATCCATTCCAAGACCATGAACATTACCCCTTCTCTCCCTAGTTTCTTGTTTCTCCTAGTGGATGACATTGGTTGGGCCGACTTTAGCTACAACAATGGCACTGCATTGACTCCAAACATCGACGCCTGGGCCAAGGACAAGAATTCTTTGATTTTGCAGGATTTTCATAGTGGAGGAACAGTGTGCAGTCCAACAAGAGCAACCATCTTGACTGGTCGCAATCATTTTCGGGATTGTGTGGACTATGTCTATGGCTGTGATGACATGTCAATATGTGTTCCAGACTTTGAGTTTGCACCGTCTCGCACATTTACCGTGGGTGATGCAGTCAGGACAGCTCATCCAGAGGAGTATGGTGACTATGGGGGTGCCTATTTTGCAGGCAAGTGGCACCTTGGCAGCTTCTTCAATGACTCTGAAGCCTATGGCGGAAAGACCAGTTCTCCCCTTGTCCATGGGTTTACAAAGATGAATGCCACAGTTGAAGTAGCTCCCACTGCAACAACCAACTGTCAATGCAAACCAGAATGGCGGAAGGATTGTCAATTTGGCCACTACGATGGGCCAAATCATTGCTCCCCTGATGGTCGATGTTGTTTCAACTACTGGTGGGATGATCCCCTTTCAGCCCACGGTGTGACAAATCTTACGTGGCCTACCCCTCCCGATGATTCCTTGTATCTAGTGGACGCGTTTTCCCGATACATGGCAGAGAGAGCGCAGCAGAAGAAACCATTCTTGGCCCAAATCAGTTTTCACAACTGTCACATACCCTTTATTGCATCCAAAACAGCCAAAGTACGTTGTGCCAAAGGAGAAACCTGCCGTCCACCTGATCCAGGCTCGCCTCCCTACACGGAAAAAGAACTAGACTACTATGGCTGTATGACAGAGCTGGACAATGCTTTTGGCCAGGTTATAGAGGCACTCAAGAAGCATGGATACTATGACAATACCATGATTTGGTTTGCATCCGATAATGGCCCTGAGCAGAACTGCCCACCGGATGGGATCTGCAAAAAAGCATCCATTTCCCCGCAAAGGCCGGTAGAAGGGCCAGGATCTGCAGGACCCCTGCGGGGCAGGAAGCGAGATATCTATGAAGGAGGCCATCGGGTTGCAGGCATAGTCTCATTTCCACCTCTTATTCAAGGTCGGGGAGGCATGCAAGTTTGGGAAACTGTGGTAACATTTGATTTCCTTCCTACCGTTATGGAATTGCTGAATCAAACTCGCCCTCCTTCTCAACAATCCTGGGCTCTTGATGGTCGCAGCATTGTGGCTTTACTGAAAGAGCCCAACAATTTTCAATGGAACAATACCAAGGAAGGCCCTCGTAGCTTTGGCATTGGGTACTATGATCCCAAGCAAATCATATCCAATGGTTGGGGCTACCGGTGGGGGAAATGGAAGTATGTGCAAGGCAGTGTCAGCTGCAACAAGAAATATTGCCGAAAACCACAGTTATTTGATTTGGAGACAGACCTGGGAGAACGACATGACTTGGCAGAGGCAAACCCGGATGTATTGCGTCTTTTGCAGCAAAAGTTTCGGGAATGGCATGCTTCCATAATGAAATCAAGGCAGGAAGAGTCCAAGTGTCAGAAAGCCAATTTGCCACTGCCATTGCCAACCTTCATGTCAGAAGAATAATCAATAGGTCTAAATCTGCTAGCTAGTTACGTGGCTCGGCTATTAGCTACTAGTATTGTACCGGTACCGTCTTTTCAAAGGCCCGATCTTCTGGCGTCGTCTCGACTTTTACGTTTACAGCTCCGCCGTTTTAGTGAGTACATAACGGCTTCTTTTTTGAACTTGAATTTCAAACGCCTCACAAACTCATTTTCATTTTGAAGTCAAAAAGCACCATGGCGACGACCTCTCTGGGAGCAGCGCCTCCATGCCGACGCTCGTTTGGTGGCAAAGCAGGGACGTGGTTTACCAGGAGGAAACCGCGCAATGATACCTCGACCTTGAAGAAAACGAATGGCGAGCTCTCTTCGCAACCCAATGCGACCATTGAATGGGACCATGACAAGTGCCGTCCTATTTTCAAACAAGCCGTGCCGCCCAAAGAGCCATCGAATGAAGAACAAGATACTGACAGGAATACTACAGTAGCGAGAAAGCACGATGGGATCAACATTCGCTTGGATTTTTCCGATGGTATGGAGAAGACTACTACTTCTACCAGTACTAACGAGTCCAATGAAGAAGCACCGACCAAACCCAAGGATCCTTTTGACAGCAAGAAGAGACATCAAAAGTCCTACGGAATCAGGTCTCGCAACAAGAAGAGACAGAAGAAGTGCAGTGAGTTGGATTCGCTGAATGATTCCGACGATGACGAATCGTATTGTGTGGGCATGCTGTCACAACCACAGGATTTTCAGCCGTTGAATAATCGAGGAAGCACGAAGAATGAGTCGGAAGAGGAAGATGACAATCACACAAGCACAACAATCGACACGGTGACACTGGCCAGAAGAGTCAGCACGGGAAGCTGTTTGAGTCTGGAAAACAAAGTCGAAAAGGATACATTTGCATTTCGAGATGACGACCCCGTGGACGACAAAAAGAGGACTCTTGTCCAGTCGCTCTGCGAGACTCCACAAACAGCGTCTCTCCGCGTCCATCGGGAGTTCTTTGAACGACTAGATCGGGATCATCAATTGACTATCGCTGCCGAGCCCAGCACTTGTCGTCGTCTGCGCCGTCACGAGACCACGGGTCGTTCCACGTATGGGGTCAATTCGAAAAAGCATCTCTTGACGGTGGCCCCCAAATTGACCCAAGAGTACAATGAATACAAAGTGGCGTGCGAGGAATCCAACGTGACCCCCATTCCAAAGGAAACCTATTCTGCAAACCGTTCTCAATACTTTGAGTCAGCGTCGGAGCTTTATGATGGGTTCCTGGATGAGTGAGCCGACAATAATGCAAAAGCAAAAGAGGCAACACTGCTGTAATCTATGGTAGAGCAGCCGGACAGTAGGTACAGATGAGCAACAAGCATACTGGAGTTCAACAAGTCTTTAATAGTTAAGAGTTAGTAGCAGTTTTGTTGCTGTAACTGTGACCAGTTCTCTAGTTCGGGTACGAGGTACAGTAGTACTGTAGAATTGCATGGCTTCAATGGAGAACAGAACGTACCGGTACTTGTTAATGATGCTGTCCTGGTTAGACGAGGACAGATCGACGGATCATACTGGCATCCATTTATAGCAGATAGAGACCGATGGAATGATGACTGGAATCGAATTATCATGCGCAATAAACATGAAACATTTTGTACTGGATGGCTGGATGGTTAGTCCGTATCGTACATGTCGTACTGGCAACAACTCATTTACAGGATTCATCCTTATCGGAGCATTGAGGACAGCTGCAAGTAAGCAGGTCGCAATCATATCGAAAGCTGGTCAGGGAAGTCAATGCAATGCAAAGCTCTTCTGGAACGCTCCCGTTTACCAAATTGTCGTAGATTTGAAGTTGCTCCAACGTGGAGAGCTGCGCCCACGAAACCGGAATAGATCCGGAGAAATGATTTTCATACAGATGCAGTTCTTTCAAGTTTGTCAGTGAAGCAAGAAACTCCAAGTCAGACAGCCTTCCGTCCAACTTGTTCTCATTCAAGTGCAAGAAGGTCAAGGCCGTCAACAGTCCAATTTCACTCGGGATGGTCCCGGTAAGGCTATTCTCCCAAAACTCCAGTTGTTCTAGTCCAGATAGGTGGCTTAGCTCCGATGGCAGACTGCCTCGGAGATCCAGGCGAGACATCTGGATAGTCCATACCACAATGCAACAAGCATAGTTAGTTTTTTGCCAGCATCTGCTCTTCCGCCGGACAGATAGGTTGTGGCGACGAACATACCAGGAGGTTGGTGAGGTGTGTCAAAGCACCGATTTCACTTGGAATCGTTCCGCTGATCTGATTGTTTTGAAGCAGTAACTTGAGAGAATGCACAAAGTGAGGAGACAGCCAAAAGGGAGTGCGCCTTTGAAAACAAGCTACATTGATGCAACCATACCTCTGTCAACCCGGTGAGCCTTCCAAAGAGTGTTGTCAGTGTGCCAGAGATTTGATTCTCTCTCAGCGATAGACACTTTAGGCCAGTCAAAAAGGATATCTCTGGTGGGATCGTCCCAACAAGGCGGTCGCTGTCCAAGTTGATGGCTTGGTAGACTCCTTCGTCAGTGCAGTTGGGCTTGAATTCCCTGTCTCCTTGCCAGTCACATTCGTGCAGACTGTCATCGAGCCAGTTGATACGGGGCGTTGGTTGCCAAGAGCTGTTTCCTCCCGTGGCATAGAACAGTGTCGCCAGCGCCATTAGCTGTCGCTTTCGTGCCTCTGACATGGACTCAAAATCCCGATGCTCTTGAACCCAGGAGAGGGCTTTTGCTTGAGGAGACGTCTCATTCTCGAGAATGGCAGCAATGGAAAACTCGGGTAGAAAGTCAGCGTCAAGCATGGCACGGGGTGTCGGAGGTGGAGTGGACACGGGTGAAGGAGACTCGGACGAAGCAGTTTGCTTGATGCCACCGTTCTCTCCTCCTCTTCTGTGGACTCGGAGGAGTTTGTGGCTGTGATAAGCACGCTGCCAAGTAACCCAGTCAGAATCAGGAAGCCAACAATAATGGCTGCTGCACTGTACATGACACATACCCATTTGCGGCTGACGGTGATACTAGTGTTGCTCTCAGAGCGGTTGGATTCGTCCAACTTGGGCCTTCCATCTTCACTTTGTCCCGATTCTTCGTCTTGAAAGCTGGGAAGCCTCCAGGCAAATTGGCTCGGCGTGAAAACCAGCGGTAGGTTCCTCCACTATTCTATGCTTCCAAAGCATGGAGGACACCGGTCTCTGGAAGCGTAGACATCGGACTCTTAGTGGATGTCGTCATCTTCCTGGTTGCCTGTATACTAGCAGTAGCAGCACAGTCGGCGGTGGCGTCAAAGGATATGGTTGTTGCGGCCGCTGCTGTGGTCGTCACTAACTCAACAGTGGTGGCCCTTCGTCTTGCCTCCCGCCTGACTTTTTGGTTTGTTCTATGAATGTGGCTGAGCGTGATCGCTGTGAAGGAATGCCTACTGGCTACCCTAGCGTTGCCCAAGGACTCTGCTTCTTTACGAGCCTTCCTTGCCTCTGCGTAAGAGCTTCTCGCTGCGGGTACCAGTATGCATATAGTTGCCGCGTCGAGCTTTGGTGTGATACCGGTATCTCTGGTGGCAGCAGCGTTATTAGTGACCAGTCCAACCGGAGGCTCCCGGCTAGCCTCAGACTTGGAGGAGCTATCCATCACAATGCCACCATTCTTGACATTGCAACTGCCGGGGTCTTGATTCGTCTGGCCATTGTCATCCTTCGAGGTAGACAACGCCGCCACACTTCCTTCCTTCATACTGTCCGACATGTCCAGGGCGTTTCTCCAAAGAGGAGCGCAGTCTAGTCTAAAGATGGGAGTCAAGTCGTAGTGAGAGGGGTGGATTGCTGGGATCTAGTAGGGACAAAGTAGCATGGAGCCACAAGCCACAAAGCCACAACGCGAAGAGTAGAACCGAACCAAATACCGTACCAATACAGCTGCAAAAAGGAGCTCAAAACCAAATCAAAAAGTGGGTTGCCGAAAGAGAAAAGATCTCACTTTCTCATTTTCTGTAAGTTAAAGCCTTACTATCACGATTGCACTTCACTTGAAGAGAATTGTCCTTACAATCCTCAGAAATGGGTGAAAATCAGATTTGGATGGTGTAGACCTTTTCTATAAGATGTTTGGATGTTTACTGTAGATCATTCAAAAAGTGAGTGGTGAAAGCTGTGATGAAGTACTAGCCAGTACTGGTACCTGGTACCGGTAGTGGCGAGAGCTGCTCCGGTGACACGCCCGTGACCCGTGACGGAAACTGATAAACTGGAACCAGCAAAATGGTGTAGTAGGATCAGGGCTTGCACTAAAGTCTGGAAACCACTTGAGTTCAAGGCTCGAACCAAAATATCACCATAATCAGAAGAATCTTCTGCACTGTGATTGTGCCAACCGTACCTATCTACCGGTTATCGGTCTGAAAGAGTGAAACTTTCTGTATTTTCATCAGCGTTTCGTTGATGGCTCGGGCTCGTACGTAAATCGAACCGGTACGGTAACATACGGTACAGGTATGGTGGAAGAAAGATTTGAAGCTCAAGTCTGTACCGTATCCCTTGTCTGTACCGTATCCCTTGTCTGTAATAGTATCGTATCGTCATACTACTCCTCGAGTAGTCTATCTTCAAAATCAGTCAATGGAGAGTTCCAATACATGTACCGGTACTAGCTAATATTGCTTCACAAAGTTTAAAAGTGCAACAGAAATAATTGTCTTATTTTCAGGGT